TGAATTTTATTGATTCGATTCGCGGGAGCCTTTGTGAAAATCCCTGGCAAAAGGATTGTGTCCCCCGAATGCCTTTGATCCTTTCTCCTTCTTTTTCCTCTTTTAATATGCCAAATTGTCTTTTAATGTGATAAACGCATATGCTCATTGAAATCGCATTATCGACGCATCACTTTTTGGGGAATTTGCATGCATTTATAGCATTTTGTGCCCATTTATACCCATTTATACCCGTAAGTAGCTTAAGTCGATGTGACAAATTTCTGGGTTCTCCTCTGGGTTTTGGTATGGGATATTTGTTGACAAAAGCCTGTCGTTTTTTGGGCTCCTCGGTGTGTGTTGGTGTTTTTACAAGGACTTAGGCTAGTTTCTAACGGGATTATCGGGGTTTTTGGGATCTGGAATCTGGGTTTCGTGTGCTCTACCTCAGCTTAAACTTTTGCAGACATGAGCAAACAGACCGCCGCGCTTTGCGGCTATAATCTCACAAATAATTACACACGAGAGAATGAAATTTGATTAATTCAATATTTGCACTCGCTTTCCCCTTGAAAACGTGCTGGAGCAAAAGTTTCCCTCCGGTTGTGAATTTCCATGTTTGCCTTGCTAATAAATTCCGAGAGCAAAAGTAATCAAATAATTGCAGAATATACAGAAACAGAAACACGCACCCACATACTACACATGTTTTTGGGCCTTGTTTTATTGCCATTTTATTTCATAAAATTTACGAGCCACAAAAAGTTTGCCACTGCCACTGGAAAAAAGAAAGGCAAAAAGAGAGGCCCAAACGCAGAAGATATAGTGAAAGTGGAAGCAGTTTGCCAAGAATAATAAAGTTGAACAAAGAGCTCTACGAGTCTATCAGTCAAAAGTGGAAAAGCGGATATCGTGGTGTTTTCTCTGCTTTTTCTCTCTCTGCTTGTAGCGGGTAACTTAATATTGATGACGCTGCTTAGGACGCGAATAAAAACCCCAATAATCCTGACAAATCGCGGTTAGTTGTCGGGGCAACCAAGTGACATTCGCCTTATGACGCGCACTTTATGCTGCAGCAATTGAGACGAGACAACTTACAACTTTGTTATATCGTTTATAGGTAAACTTTTTGGCTGCGGGGAAATGGGCGATTATTCAGTGAAGCACCCGAAAAATGAGTCATGCGAAATTGTGAAAGACTCGTAAATTAAAATCCATAAAATAAAATCGCTAGGACTTGGAAATCACTTAAAAGGGCGGCTAAAAATATGCTCTGATTATTTCTCAATAAATTGTTGCTAGAGTAAGTGAAATTCCTTAAAATAAAATCGAAAGGACTTTAAAATCACCTATAAAAGATTATAAATAAATTGTTGCATACTTTTAGATGCTTTTTAAAGCGATTTCTGGATCATCTGTGAATTAGAGAAACCTATTTGCTATTTACACACTTGGCTTGATTTTTATTCACTGGCGAAAGGATTCGAGTTATTTCCCTTACATTTCCTTTCCCATTCCACCAGTCGCGCTGTCGTTTTGCGATGTCTGAAATTTCATTTCGTACGACTCGTGCATATCGAATTCGCCCCGCTTTCTTTTTTAGGGTTACTGGGTTTGGTTTAGGGTTTAGGGTTCTGGAGTTTCCCAAGCAGCCAAGGAGCCAAGGGGGCCACCCACATTGTCACTTTTGTGTGCCTTCTACGTGCGGTTGATTGATGGATTCGCTTGTTTACTTGTCAAGCCGCAACAAGAATGTACTTTTGGGTTTGGGAATGGAAAGGGGAGGGGGGAAAATGCGGGCGGGAAAAGCCCGGAAAAGCGGCGGCTGGGGAACGGATTTCAAAATAAGCAATAGTCAGCAGTAATCGTGATATATCATATCGCAAACCGTAGGGGAACAGCAGCCGCATGATATGGGTCTTTTTCTGCCACGATTTCATTTCTCCTTTCTCCCTTTATTTATTTATATTTTTTTCCCCCTTTTTTCCTGACAGCTGCCGCGGGGCATTTGGCGAATAAATTTTAAAGCCCAGGCAAATGTAAATTCCGTCTCGGGCGGAGGGACATAAATCATAGCAATTCATTGCCCCCGAGCACGCACTCCCGGGCAATTGACGCCAAGACAAAGCGCTTCCTGATGGGGTTAAATTGGCCAAGGACACGGGGGAGTCGGTCCTTGAACAAGGCTTAAAACCAGCAAGTGACACTCACGTTTTGCAGGCGTTTTAAATGCGATTTTGTGGCTAAATTTGCTTAGATGTAATAATTTATTTTCTTGGTACAATGCTCAAATTCATAAGTGAGCCTTGAAGCTTTTAAACTGTTTCTTCTCAAATAATTGTATGAAATTAAATAAGCAAACCACTTGACTCTCAAATAAAACTCAGGAAAATTACAATAAAACATTGAATTTTGTTTGTGTCTTTCAGTAAAGTGTTGATTTGAAATATGAGAATAGATATAATTTTTTGATATTTATTAATAATAAATACTTATTTTTTTTAGCAATACTAGCTATTGATGTTTATATTTTTAAGAAGTCTAAATAAAGAATAAGTATTTATATTTAACACTAATATTTATTTATATATTCTTGAATATATCATGTTTCTCATTCAATTTAAAATGCGGTCTCTCCAATTTAGCAGCATTCTTCCCAGTTGTGGATAAAGTTTTTAGGAAACATGAGAAACTTCGTACTTTTTCCGCACACAATCTTTAATAATTTGCGCCCGGACACATTCCGAGATGATCTAATAAACTTGCCTGAATGTCTGCAAAATCCCATTTGGAGTGGCTCAGAATGGTGCTTTTCTGTCTCGCATTTCCATTTCTGTGCGTGTTGCTTGAATCTCATTACAATTGCAAGGGAAAGCGAGGAAACGGAGGGGAGAGCCGAAGAAAAGCCCCGCAGCTGACTGGCTTTCTCCTTGAGGCCAAGAATACGCATTTCATTTGCAAGAAGCCAACGGCACTAGTTTCCCATTTCCCATTTCCCGACCCATCCCGAACTAGCCGGGGAAAACTCAGAAAAGCCATCTAAAAGTTAATTACAATTGCCTCAGCCAGCGCTGCTGCAACTTTAACTGCCGCAACGAGTTCGCATTAAGCAGAAACGAGGCGAGCGAAAAAAGGAGCACGTGAAAAAGTGCGACAAGTGAGCCTTGCAAAGGGGAAAATACCCTGGAAAATTTGAGAATTTAATTTGATAAAAAAAAAACAAAGGAAATTTAAAGCTTAAAAGAGCTAAACATAAAAACTGAACATAAAAGTTTATCAAACCTAAAAATATCAATTTATCCTCTTTAAAATCTTCCAGTTTTTAATGATTTTAAATAAATTCTAAATATAGGAAAAATAATTAAAAAATAGAAGGACTATACAATATTATTAAAATAATAATGAGTCCAAGAACTAGAATCCTCTACTTTGGCATCCAGCCACTACAGGGTGTCCCGAAAAAGCCAGCCCGCAATGAAGTTCGAGCCGTAAGCAGTGCCAGTAATATCAGAAGTAACTGGCATTTCCAGTATCTAACTGCTGCAGTTTTTCGCTGCGAGGGCGGCGTATAAATATTAAAAAGAAAATCTGCTACATGGCTACGTGCGACGCATTTCAACGCAGCCAACGCGACCCGAGCGAACTCCTCGCCCTGCCCCACCCACTTTCCCGCCCATTTTCCCACACACACACACACACACACACTGGGAGCAGGGGAAAAGGTTACAAAGCAGTGGAGAAGAAAAAAGTGAAGAGAAATTTACTTTGACATATTTTTGTGCTTAGCAAAGCAAATACTTTCATTATTTTTGCTGTTGGGCACAAAATTTGCCTCATTCGACCCGCAGGAAAAGCGGGAAAATGCTAGGGGCCGCTGCATTTGAGTGGCTAAAAACATTCTGCGGTCCCCGCCCCCACAGCTTGAGTGGAAAATGACGGAAAATGTGATGGTGTGAGGGGAAGGAAAGGGGAAAGGGAGGGGAAAGCCCATCCAATGACCTAAACGTGGACAGCATCTCTGTAGTAATTTGGCAACATTTTTCGCCTCTTCAACGCAGCTGATTTTAGATTTTAGATAGGTCACGAAAAGCCACAAAAAAAAAAAAACAGAAAACAGAGTACCATTAGAAATTTTCATATTTATCGATTATTTGTGCGGTGGCATCGTAAAAACGCCAAGGAGATTTACAAAATTATCAATCCAAGTCGAGGGACAAACAATCTATTACGGAAAGTAAGCTAAGGAAAACTTTTGGTAAAATGTGTATAAATTGGGATAATTTTAGGGCTTACACTTTAATTAATTCAAATTAATAACGATGGCCTATGAGCATAAGAACAAATGTTAAAAAATAAATAGGAAGTGAAATTATAAATAATAATAAACAAATAAGGTCTTTTTTTTAGATTTTTTTAAGATCACCCGGAAAGTGTTATGGATTTATTTATTTTTTGTTATCTGCTCAAAACAGTATGTATTTTTGGTGTAGGACCATTTTTGCCCAAGTTACAGGAAAAAACAAAAATAAAAATTCATATTTTTACCAAAAACCCAGATCGCAATTCTCACCAAAAAATAATTGGTTTTTTGGCCGAAACAATGGAAATATTGATCCAAATATGGATTGTCATACCTTTCTAAACACGTTATTAAATTTCCAATCCATTGGCATTTAAACCTGGACATTTTTTTTTTTGGCCATTTTTCGCAAAAAATCATGATGTACCCCCTTATAAAAAAAATTAAAATTGGCGAAAATTTTAATTTCTTAAGATCACCCGGAAAGTGTCATGGATTTATTTATTTTTTTGTTATCTCCTCAAAACAGTATGTGTTTTTGGTTTAGGACCATTTTTGGCCAAGTTACAGCAAAAATACACAAATGAAAAATTCATATTTTCCCAAAAACCCAGATCCCAATTAATATAATAATATAATAAGTTGTACAAAATACACCAATTAATGAAGTAAACTAAAGTATTCTCTTTATTCCTCTCTCTGTTTTTCTTGCAGATCGTCAAGTGTCTATGAGGACAACTGAAAGAATTTTGTTTTTTTTTTTTGGGCCGTGGCTCCAACTGCCCACAGGAGCAAGTGAGACGGCAGTAGACAGAGTGCGACAGAGAGAGGGCGATACAGATGTGCGAGCGGCGGAATCCGGACTCCGGGGGGTTGAGACGGTGAAGGTGAGCAGGTGAAGGTGCCCAGAAGGACGCAGGACGACGAAGAGGACCATGGATTGGACCCGGTGGCAAATGGCCAGAGAAAGAGCTGGCAACCCTGGACAAGTCAGGAACAACCCTGGGCGCAAGGATTGCGATCGCGAGACCCGATTGGAGTGTTTGCCCATTTGATTCGTTGCGGCTTCACACGTAGGTTCTATCAGTCAGCCAGTCAGTCAGTCAGTCAATCAGTCAGTCAGTCAGTCAGTCACCCACTCAATAAATCAATCGTGCCACAGTGCTCGATTGTCGTTGTCCCCCTCAAATCATCATCAGTTGAAAACAGAAATACAATAGCAAGCGATCAAGACATGCACATTACTGTAAATACTCAAAACTAGTTTCATAAACAAAAAACCAAGGAAATATACAAAAACCCGAAAACCAAAAAGTAAATATAAAAAAGTGCAGTGTTCAGTGTTCGACGACAAAGGGAAAAAGAGACGGCAGAGGAAAATCGAGTGGGGAAAAACCGAAAAGTGAGAGGGCGGCCGAGGGCTGCCCCGCAACAACTGAAAAACCAAAAAAAAAATCGACAACCTACAAATCAACAATAACAACAACAACAGCATAACGCCCCCAACACTGCCAATGCCATTGCCATTATCAAGAACAACGTTCGTTCATCATCGTTCGTTTAGATTTGACACAAGTGAGTCTAGCCTATATCATTATCATACTATCTATCTCTATATATCTATCTAGAAACGCGAGCGGGGAATTAAAACTCCCGTTTTTAGCCCAAAAGTAGGCAACACTTGCCTACTTTGGCTCTAAGGATACGGGGTCTTAGTTTCCTGCTCACTTTAAGATGCATTTTCTAAACATTTTTAGCCATAAGAACTGTAAATATACTCCCACCTCAACAAACTAGTCCTCATACTATTGCGGTATTTTAAATCTACCTTTTGAAAGCCTAAAAGTAGGCAAAGATTCTAAGCTTTGACTCCTCTTGAATCTCTGTTAACTTGTGAGCACAGCTTGTAAATTCAATTTTATTTAGATTGCCGAGTTAGATAATCAGTTGCAGCCACTTTTTATGTGGCATGTTGGGCACTGCAAGGAAATCCTGATGAGTGAATTATTAATTAGAACTAAACACGTTAGCTGGCTGAGTTTCGTGATTTAAAGCTATTAATTAGGGTGTTGTCGTGAGTAATTCAATTTATACGCTTAACCTGTTGAGGAAAATGTTAGCTAGAAGTGCTTCTTGCTTTGTTAAACATCTTTGGGCAGTTTCACACACTCAAGTAATGGGAATTCATGAATTTTTAACAGAAAAAGGAGTTAGGAGTTTTCAAATCACAAATAAAGGTGTCTAAAAGTATGCAAGCATATTTTTCACTGCAAGTTTTTTTTTACAAACTAAAAAGCAAAAGTGAGTGCCCACCAAAGGACTCGCCACTGAGAAAGTGATTTCGGGATCTCAGCGAGCTGCTCATTAGCGCGTCGGGCTGATTAGTGAATAGCCCTTAGTGATTAGCGACTAGTGTCAAGTGCCATCAATCAGAGTTGCTTTCGATGAATCACTTAGTCGACAGCTGCCGCGAGTGCACCCAATGGGCGACGCTGCGTTGCAGTTTGCCATCCATCAATTAGTTGTGCACCACCCACCACCCAGTTGCCCAGTCGCCCAGTTGTCCAGTTGCCCACCCACTTTGCATATTCGTTTAGTCGGGCGCAACTCCCGCGTGTCCACTCCCAATCGCAATGGCAATCTGAAATCTGACAAATCAAATCTTGTATGCAAAGCAGCACAGCACAGAACAGCGAAGCACAGCACAGCAAAAGTAACAAAGCGGCGAGCAATTTGTACAAGCACTTGTGCCAACAAAACGCCGACACGCAGGCGAGCAGAAAAGCAGACTGGCAAGGCACGCAAAGCAAAGCATAAGCAGACACCGAGCAGAAAGGAAAGCGCACAGCAAAAGTGTAAAGCAAAGAAGCAAGCAGAAAATTAAGGCAAAATAGAGAAGCAGATAGCAAATTAAGAGGAAAAGCATGCTTTATTTAAGAAAAAGCGAGAAAAGCAGTAGAAAAGCATAAAAGTTAAATAACACTTCTACAAGCGAAGGAAAGCAAAAGCAGAAACAGCAAAGCAAGAAAGCAAATCTGCTGAGCAAAAAGCAAGCTAGCAAAGCAGGAAAGCAGCTGTTAAGAAAGCAAGAAAGCAGGAAGCCAAAAAGGAGAAGGAGACGACGACTAAATAGTTGCGTGACCTGCGCGTTTTGCACAATAAACAGCGTAATTGCTCATAAAGCGACTGCTGCTGCTGCCGCCGCCGGACTAACCGAACTAACCGGACTAACCGACCGTTTAGGGCAATTACAAGGAGTGCGAGGAGGTGACAAGCGATTAGGCGGGCGGCAGGGGGGTCGAGTGCGACCCCCTTCCACCCCGGATGTATAAGCCGGACACGCTAACGCGCCGCGGCAGCCTGAGATCCCTGCGCAGCGCCCCTCTCCTGAGCACCGTGCTCGAGAGCACGCTTTCGCTGACCCGCATCCACCCGATAGCCTCCTTGGAGCTGCCCGGCCTCGACTATGCGGTCCACTCGCAGTCCGCGTTCGGCGCCTACGGGCTGGCCCACCCCCGGGATCTAGCCACCTGCACCTCGTTGCGCAGCGGCCTAGCGGCGATCACCGCGGCCTCCGCCTCCGCCGCCGGCGGCGTCTCCCAGTCGCAGAGCGCCCTTCTCGGGCGGTACGGGCCCAACGCCTCGATTCGCCACGGCGAGCGAAAGATTGTCCAGCCGAAACGGTAGGTGGATAGCTTGATAGAAGGTCATTGATAGAGTCTCGCCAACGGAGACTAGAGTCATGTGTCATCAAAGGTATATCACATTTAAGCTATCAGCTATCATGAAAAGATGGGTATTTCCCATTATATAAGGGCTTACCTGTCATATCTGAAATCTCTAAAAGCTCACCTATCTCATTTTTACTTTTTAATAAATCTCAAGAATTCGCGTCTTCAAAAAAATATATTTCCTTATATTACTTAATGATGATGCCTAAGAATTCGCGTCCCGAAGAAGATATGAAAGATTGTTGGGAAATGCTAAGTAATTTCACTTATCTTATTTTTACTTTTAAATAAATCTCAAAAATTCGCGTATTTTCAATATATCCTAATATTGATGCTTAAGAATTCGTGTCTCGAGGAACAAATGAAAGAGCTCATTTTTGGGAAAATGCAAAGTTATTTCCATAGCTAAAAGGTTGCTTAAGAATTCGCGTATTTTTTTGTTGCCCTCTTAAATATATCGATATATTTACTATTCTGTTTTTCCAGTACTAGATCGTTATAAAATTATTATACAATATACTAAGGAGCGATTTGTGTATGCTTTTCTAAACGGCGTTATGAAATGGCTAAGTTTCTGGCTTTGAATTTCTCTTGGGATTGATCAGGTAGTCATTAGGTCATCAGGTCATCAAGGGGTTCCATAGGTAGATGGACTACTGCCAGTCCCTGACAGGACTCCATCGCTTGAGGTTCCCGTCCCAGGGCAGATCATCGATGTTCGCCTGGGCGGCAATGGCGGCCTTCACCCGATTCGAGAACTCCACGGGCGACTCGTCGATGCGTCGCGTGAGGGGCGGCATGTACCACACGTCGCAGCAGATGCACCACGAACTGACCACCATCAGCATGTAGCGGAGCATCGAGTAGCGGGTGCTGTCCCAGAAGGCCTCCCCGAACCGCCGATCGTAGCGAATGGCCACCGGATAGACGATGTCGCTCACCGCGAAGCTGCCCTTCTTGAACTGCATGACGGCGGTGTTGTTGATGCAGGTGCCCTCGGGAAATAGCAGCACCGGCGGTCGATCCTTCGCGGAGCAGTGCATCCGGAGCACCAGACCCAGGGCCTCTCTGTCGGCCAGTTCCTGGCGATCGAACCACATGTGGTGGGAGACCCGCGAGAGGGCCCTCTGCAGCACCCCCAGGATGCCCGTGTGCACCTGACCGGTCAGCGAGTAGTTGGCATCGCACATCAGCACCAGGACGTCCAGGGGACTCGTGTGGTTGCACACACAGATCCCCTTGGTGGGTCGGTGCTCCGTGTTGTGGAATCTCCGGACCATCGGCAGGCAGCCGGCGGTGATGCGAAAGCACTGACGCAGCACGAGCTCCACCAGCAGCTGCTTGCACTGCCACTCGTTGGGCAGGTGACCCAGCAGGACACTCATTCCGCTGATCAGGAACAGGCACAGCCAGCAGGCAATGGTCCTTAGGGGCAAGAGGAGACCATACCGGGTCAGCCAGCCCAGCAGCCAGACGAGGCGGAGGCGCCAGTTGAGGTAGCGCTTCCGCTGGCGGAGATTGCGGGTCAGCAGATTCCATTCCCCCGACGGCGAGGGAGCGGCCACAAAGCGCTGGGTCACCTCGTCCTCCAGGACCAAACCCAATCCAGCGGCTATCAGATCGCAGCACTGCTCCACCCGGATATTCAGGCGATTCTTGATGGGCGGCGACAGTAGCAAGTCCACGCCGTCACCCTTGCCTCCCTGATTTCGCTTCTCGGTGGAGGAATCCAACTCATCGGAATCCGAATCGGAGTCCGTGTCCGAGTTCTTCTGGCCCAAACGATGACGCTCCTCGCGGGCCCGGCGCCTGCGGGTGATGGCCAACTGGTCGGCGATCCAGGCGAAGAGCAGCTCGAGGACCTCCAGGTAGCGACACTGCAGCCAGAAGAAGGAGATCCACAGCAGGACGGTCAGGATGGCCAGTTGAATGAACATGGCTGCCGAGGGGAGAAGAGCGAAAGTGATGAGAAAGTGTGTGGGAAAATGTGGATAAATGTTGTTAGCAAGTATGTTAGCTCCTAGCTCCTAATCCTAGAGAAAGTGAAAATAGTACTGTGAGTTGGGGCTGAAGTGACACGAGAAGCTAGGCTAAACGTAGGGGAGAAATGGGAAATGGAGAGGGGAAAATAGGTTTAATAAAAAGCATACTTTGAAAAATAGTTGCTCAAGAATTCGCGTATTAAACAAAACGTAATTATTTTTCATATAATTTATTGCGTATTTTTTTTAGATCAAGGCTTTATATTTAATCGAAAATTAAATTTAAAATTAAAAACATTTCCCATTTGTATGCTATAGCATAATTTAAAAAATAGTTCCCCGAGAATTCGCGTATTAAACCAAAACTGAATTTAACAAATTTTAATTTATTTAATTTAATTTAAAAGAAAAAATTGAAATAAACAAAACAGGCAAAGTAACACAAAATACGCCTACGTATTGGGATTATCCCTGAATGCCAAACATAAATGTAAATAATTCCGGCTGAACTGCACTAATGCCCTCAAGAGTTCACCCACAAATTTCCCAATTAAAGCCCTAATTCAATTTGGCGCCGACTTTTTGGCTTTTACTCGCATTTCCCCGTTTTTCTTACATTTTTCTTCTTGTTTCCTAAGCGCCCCGAAAGACTTTTGATTTATTTGGCCCGAGATGTGAGGGAAAAAAAAACCCGGAAACTTTGCCGTCGTCTTCCTTTCTCATTTTTATTTTGGTTGCCTTTCGGTCGGGTTTGAGCTTTTGGGTCTTTGGGTTCGACTTTGGCCCATTTTTTGTTTTTTCATATGGCAATAATTCAATTATGCCATAACAAGGCCGCAAAATGTTTGCCTCGGGGCGACCCGAAATCACTTAAAAACCACAGAAACTTCTGGCTTTGTTAATTCGTTAATTAAATGGGGGTTTGCGATTTCGCCACCGCCGCCGCCGCTCAGCGAGGATTACGCAATGAGCGATGATGATGGTAGATGGTATGTGGTATAGGGGAAGGAAGCTCCTCCTTCCTCCATTGATTACATTGGCTGGCAACAATCTTGGCTTATCAAATGCAAACAACGACGACAGGCAACGTCAACGACAACGCCAACGACGACGACAACTCATTTAGGCCCCGGCCGGGCCCTTAATTAGCATAGAATGTGTTTTAAAAAGCCACTTGAGCTAAACATTCAAAACACCTACAGGGTGTTTCGCCCCAGCCTCTCAGTCCTCAGTCCTCCTTACCTTACCTGTCGTCTCCTCGCTTTTCCTCGCTTTTCCACTTTCCCAGCGACAACGACAACGACCTTAGGCGCTTTCAGCGCGGCAAAGTATCTGCGTGGCACAGTTTGGCAAGTCTGAGGCCGGACAGATTTAAATACTCTAACTGCCAAAAGCGAGGAATTAAGACGGCACTTGCGACTAGCTAACCCACTTAAATGTGATTAAATTAAGGTTAAAGAATCTTAGCCCATCGAAGTTTTAAAAACTTTAAAAATATAATATTTAAAATTTTGAGAATATTCTCAGTTTTAAAATCCATATTTTCATAATTTTGTATGCCACTTTTTTCATTACCTATTTATCGCTATCCAACTATAGTAAATAGTATTTACAATTAATACGCTTTGGTTGCATTTTCTGTTAAATTTAATCTATAAAATAATATAAACCGATGCCCATTTTAAACGGAAAGTTGAAGCTGCAGCCTAATCGGTTTGATTAAAAGTCCAAAACAAAAAACCGAAATTCGGAAATAATTCCTACATGCAATTGATAAAAAAAAAGTAAAAAATAAGTTGGTAAGTCAGGTGCACATGGGTAGGGTACACCTGCGTCGACGTCGACGTCGCAGCAGCGACTGCGGCAGCACGTGACGCTCAAGTGTTGGGATAAGCATTTCCGCTCTTCAGACGTTACACGAAAAAAGCGCCCCTCTTGTGACAAAGCGCTTGTTGTTGTCGCGGAAAAGCGGTGGAAAGCAGTGGAAAGCGCGGGGAAAATGAGGAAGCACAAAATGAAATTGTGACGCTGGCGCTGCGACACGCCCACATGACGAGGCGCCGCCACGCCCACCTGCCATTCAAAAGTAATTTAGCGTTTAAAAAACATTTTTCTGCCTGACTTCTAAAAAGTTGCGCGTAATGCGAGTCGCGTGCGTGTTTGTGTGTGTGTGTTGTGTGCAGGTGGAAAATCGGGGAAATGCGAGGAAAAGCCCGCCACTCACCTGGTTGTTGTAGCCACGTTCCGATTTCGATGTCGTCGTCTGTCTGATCCGCCCGATTGTATTTTGTTATGGCTCCGGTTAAGGAGAGAGCGGGGAAAAAGGAGAACAAAAAACTGCCTACGAAATTTTTTACTTATTGACTTTGACGTCTCACCAAACGGCTACGTGAGTGTATTAATCAAGGCCTGCAATTGCCGGGGGAAAATCTGGGAAAATGTCTATGGAAGTGCCGCTTAGATTATGAAAAGCCTACGCTTCGACATAAAAAAAAGTGGCAACGCAGGATAATGAGATTAGGGAAGTTGTTAGCACTTAGGCACAGAATAAAATGCCAGCTACTTGGAAAAAAATTCAGAGAAGCGAAAATGATAAAGCTTTTGTTTAGAATATTCTAATAATTTTGCATCAGAAAAATATAATATTAGCAAATTATTTGAAATAAAAATGAAAGAAATATCATTTTCACTATTTAAAATATTTAAGAGTAAATCGGCTTAGTTAAGTTCCATCGTAAATGCATAGGCACAAACAAGTTGAAAGTAAAAATCAAGAAAAAGCCGTAAGGCTTTATTTCTCAGCGGGAAATAAAGTAAACAATCAAGTGGAATCATGACAATGGGAAAACATTCGCCCCCCCTGCATTAGCATAATTTCGCTGGCAAGTTAATTAAAAAAGTGTTGCCGTTTTGACCCTCGGGATCGCACAACTCAAATCCCTTTGACACTCGATGAGAAAAGCCCGCCCGCACTTTCCCATAATTGGTTTACGCCATTTTCCGTTTTCCATTTCGCATTTCCCGCCGCTTGTTGTTTACATTTGCATAATGAAAGCTGGGAATCAAATACAAGAAATGTGATTTATAATTTTTCTGTTGTCTGTTGGCGGGCATTTTAATTAGTCGCCCCGGAAGATGAGGAGCCATCGCCTAATTATGTGGGGCGATGGTTCTTGGGCTTAGCCCACGGTTTACTCCTCCGCCATCGAGTCATTATTTAATATAAGCTTTTGATAAATTATTTCCGCCTGATGGACGCTACGTGACGAGAGTTGTCAGAGAAAAGCGGGAAAAGCAAAAGGCAGAAAGGCTTCTTGGTCTCTTATGTATTTTTGATTTGCGGCCGCATCGAGCAGTTTGCCAATCATCCATCCTCGAGGCCTCGTTTATTTGCGGCAATTAATCAATTTGGCGAGCGGAGCAGAGCTTATCCCCCGAATAAGTGATAAAGATTTATCACTCAGCCGCCCCGTTGCCCCAAAGTCCTTAAAGCGACTTAAAGCCGGACTCTCGGCGTTCATTGAACCAAACATTTTGACTTTTGCGTCTGAACGCACATGAAAAGCATTCGGGAAAATGGAAAATGTGAGGGGGCGTTTATTTTGACTAAGAACCGAACAAAAATGAAGGCTTAATAAGTAGCGAATGGCAGCCAGGTCGCACCAAAAAATGCTCTGGGTTCTATTTAAAAATCTTAATTGCTCACTTACACATATTCTGTATATTAGTTTAATTAATTGAATTAATAAATAATTCTTTTAAATTAAATTATTTAAGAATATAACATATTTTAAATAAATTTCTTTATTTATATTATTTTTATTAAGCTACTACAGTACTGTACTAATTTGTAATGTAATTAATTAGATTGATAAATATTACCTTTAAATTAATTTATTTAAGACCAAGTTTGTTAAATATTTTTCTTTATTTATATTATTTTTATTTAACTAACCTGGCCGGAAAAGCCGGAAAATGCTTAGGGCATTCACAGCTACAAAACGTTGAACATAAATCTTTAAAAGTGAAGAGCAGCGGATATATACACTCTGCTCTGTCCGACCCCCAATTTCCCGCCCCTCCATTCCCTCCATCATTTAGCCGGCTGCATTTTTCGTCCTTATTTTTTTTTTATTTAAGCGGCTTCATGTGGGAGAGAAACGGGGGTCAATGCACCCGGAAAATGCAGAGAAGAAGGGGGAAAAAGGGGGAGGAAAAGCCAGACGACGACGACGACTCGTTCACGATGTTTACGTTTTGAGCCGCGCTTTTCGGGGCTTGTCAACGCCATCCTCCCAACTTATTACTGAAAATTCCGGCCAGGAGAATTTCTTAGGTGCAAAAAGTTGCACTTCACCCGCAGCTGGGTGGTGCAGAGTGGGTGGTGCAGAATGGGTGGATGGTTCTTTGGCGTCGTGCTAAGTGAAGTGTAGGCGCAAAGGCGAAACACGCGAAACTTGTCGGTGCAATGTAATAAATTTCGAAAACGTCCAAACGCTTGGCCCATAACGAATGGCTTGCCCAATGCACATGGACAGAAGCCACCCAAGCCACCCACTCTGCAGCACCACCCATTTTGCACCACCTTGTTAGGCCGCCTGCAATAAGTCTTTTATGGCTTAGAGAGCTGAAAAACTGGAAAACCGAAAGAGAGCTGAAAACTTTTATCATTAAAGTTGAAAGGTAAAATTCGGCCATAAAAAGTGCGCGGAAAATGGGGAATGGAGAATGGGCGAAAATCGGTAAGAGAGTGCGGAAAGAAAAACTCGCGAAACGTGACTCACAAAATCCGCTCACGTGACCAAGTCAATAAAGTGTGCAAAAGATTTGCGAGTAAATGAATTTCCCCCTCCTAATGGTTCGTGTCGATGCTATTTTACTTGCTACCCAACACTGCTGTCTGGATTTAGATGCGCCCTACCAACACTGTTCAAAAATAAATGTATTGTGTGTGATATCTTGAAATCGAATAATTTCTCTTTACTTTTTCCAACTGCTGGCTCCTCAGAGTTTTCTTATCCCGCTTACTTTGCATACTCCGTGTGCCAACCATATTATTTATTGACCTTATACGTGCCGGAATGCATTTAATACCTTCGAAATGGACAAGTTCGCCCACATGTGCCAAGCTTAGCCCCAAATCGATCATCGTGACCCCGGTTGTCGAACTTGACTTTGCCACTTGCCCGGCATTCGAATCGAATCGAATCGAATGCTCCATTGTGGGTTCTTTGGCAGCACTTGCTCCGATATCCGCAGGGTTTCCCTCTGCACAGCATTTCCCATTTCCCAGTCCGTTCAGGTAACTGAACTCGCACGTACATTTCCCCGGCTCCCAACTCCCCCACTTTATTTCATTTCATTTCCTGCCATTTGCAATTTTCCATTTCGGGTGAGCTGCCAGTGCACATTTTATTGATTTCGAATGCAATATTTTCGGCTTGAGGGATGATGGTCTGGGTTTTAGATGGCAACTATTCGTTTATGGCTCCAGCTCCTTTCGTTCTGTTTCGTTCCGTTCCGGCAATTTGTTAATTGTATTTCATATGCAAGCGTCGCATGCATTGCAAATTTTATTAGCTGCACTGCCAGTGCAAATAGACGTTGGGCGCCACTTTTTCGGGGAAGCAGGAGGAGAGGAGTTCCTCCCCGAACACACAATAAATTGAAACATAAATGGAAATCAACTTAAATATGCATGACATGTAAATAAAGCGTGTGCAATCGATGCCTCCGAGGGTTAGGCGAGTGTCCTTCGTCCTTTCTGTTTAATTCTGTTAAATATTTGTGAACTCTCCTTGCCTTTTTTTGACAGACAGCCGAGGGCAAAGTTTCCTTTGCATTTAGACTAGTTGCACAGAGCGAAAAAAATCAATAAACAAAATTAATTTTTATTTTTCTTACCACATTTAAAGTATTAAATGCATTTATTTATTTTCCGCCTCAATTAGCTTGTCACTCCTTCAGCCGGCTTTAAGCCAGATTTACTTACATCCTTCAGATCCTTCAGATGGCCCTGCTATGCAAATTCCAAATATTACTTGCAAAGTAAACCCGTGAAAAACGGGGGGACCAGAGTGAGTGAAAAGAAAACCAAACAAAAGTACACACAAAAGTTTAGCTTGGCAGAAAAAAACAGAAAAAAACAGTAAAAGAAAACACATAACTGCAAATATTTTCTTACGCTCGTATGAAATGTAAGCATGTAAATACCAGCACACACACACACACACACAGTGATAGGTCGGAAAAACACCCACAGACATGCATAACTTTGCTGCAATCGCTGGGAAAATAAGAAAGTGGGAAGAGTGAGAAAGAGAGGGGCTTTTCCCCCAAGACAGCGGCGGCGTGACGACGAGGGTCGCTTGAATAGTAGTCTAAATCAAATTTCTATTTTCTATAGCATACTTTTTGGGGCCACCCTCACCCGCAGATACACATAAAAAACTTTCCATAACTCGCTGGTTTTCCCTCTCTTCAGGCTTAAATTTTTTTTTGAAATATTAATAACAAAAGAAGAATTTAAACTTTCAATGAAGAGAGTCCTTTTCCCCGTCCTCGTCCCTTTATTCCGCGTGTGTGTGCGCTTCTTGTATATTGTATTTGTAAACAAATATGGAAATTGCTGCCGCTGTTTGTGCTGTTTTGAGGAGCTGAATGACAAGCAGCCCCCTGGGAAAGGGGGTGGGAAATGGGGCGGTGGGCGGGGCCCGGCATCAGCATAAATGCCAAGTTGTAGTGGAAGTGCCAGAAGTCGTCCTTGCACTTTACTTTTTTGGCTTTTAAAGTGTCTCGAAAATGTGCAGGAAAAGAAACGCAGCTTACATTATTTAACTTAAACTAATATTTATATTTACATTTCATTCACCTGAACATTTTAATTGAGTAAAAAGAAAAGACTTAAAATGGCTTAACTTTAGAATAATGAAATATGTAACTATGCTCTCAGTTTGTTATTTTAATCCCTGTGTTGTGTCACTGTTGGCTTTGAATTGCAGCCATTGTTAACAATTTCGCAAGGCAATATTTTGCTGTCAAGCTGTCAAAAGGCGACTTGAAGTGAAAATCGCCTAAAAATACAGCAAAAAAACAAGAAAAGCCATCAAGAAATTAATCTACTGGCCGAAAGTTGAGCCCAGATGGATGCGACAACACTGCGGTCCCTTTGACAGCATCGATACCTCCGATACTTAAGCGGTTTATGCCGATGGGGCGGCAACTCTGGCCGCATCGATCGATCGATTCATGCGCTTGCTGCACATTTCGTAATATCCTGCTGGGCATTTTAATATCGCAACGGCTTTCACTTGTTTACCGCTTTATGCAAATTTCATTGTGAGCCGAGTGGCGTCCACTGGAGTCCAACTACCCCTCCGATTTGTGTGCCATATAGCTATATGTATATATAGGTTTA